TTCTGATTGAGAGGGGGTCAAATACTTATTTCCCTCATTAAAATGCAAATCAATTTATAACATTTTTGACATGTGTTTTCTGGATTTTGTTGTTGTTATTCTGTCTCTCACTGTTCAAATAAGCCTACCATTAAAATGATAGACTGATCATGTCTTTGTCAGTGGGCAAACGTACAAAATCAGCACGGGATCAAATACTTTTTTCCCTCACTGTATGTACGTGTGTGTGCGTGCGTGAGTGCGTATGTGCGTATACGCTTGCATGCATGCATGTACAGTTGAAGTCGGAAGTTCACATACACCTTAGCCAAATACATTTAAACTAAGTTTTCCACAATTCCTGACATTTAATCCTAGTACAAATTCCCTGTCTAAGGTCAGTTAGGATCACCACTTTATTTTAAGAATGTGAAATGTCAGAATAATAGTAGCGAGAATGATTTATTTCAGCTTTTATTTCTTTCATCACATTCCCAGTGGGTCAGAAGTTTACATACACTCAATTAGTATTTGGTAGCATTGCCTTTAAATTGTTTAACTTGGGTCAAATGTTTCGTGTAGCCTTCCACAAGCTTCCCACAATAAGTTGGGTGAATTTTGGCCCATTCCTCCTGACAGAGTTGGTGTAACTGAGTCAGGTTTGTAGGCCTCCTTGCTCACACATGCTTTTTCAGTTCTACCCACACATTTTCTATAGGATTGTGGTCAGGGCTTTGTGATGGCCACTCCAAATCCTTGACTTTGTTGTCCTTAAGCCATTTTGCCACAACTTTGGAAGTATGCTTGGGGTCATTGTACATTTGGAAGACCCATTTGCGAACAAGCTTTAACTTCCTGACTGATGTCTTGAGATGTTGCTTCAATATATCCACAGAATTTTCCTTCCTCATGATGCCATCTATTTTGTGAAGTGCACCAGTCCCTCCTGCAGGGATATAGGATTTGTTTTACTGTGGATATACAGTGGAGAAAAACAGTATTTAGTCAGCCACCAATTGTGCACGTTCTCCCACTTAAAAAGATGAGAGGCCTGTAATTTTCATCATAGGTACACGTCAACTATGACAGACAAATTGAGGAAAAAAATCCAGAAAATCACATTGTAGGATTTTTAATGAATTTATTTGCAAATTATGGTTGAAAATAAGTATTTGGTCACCTACAAACAAGCAAGATTTCTGGCTCTCACAGACCTGTAACTTCTTCTTTAAGAGGCTCCTCTGTCCTCCACCCGTTACCTGTATTAATGGCACCTGTTTGAACTTGTTATCAGTATAAAAGACACCTGTCCACAACCTCAAACAGTCACACTCCAAACTCCACTATGGCCAAGACCAAAGAGCTGTCAAAGGACAACAGAAACAAAATTGTAGACCTGCACCAGGCTGGGAAGACTGAATCTGCAATAGGTAAGCAGCTTGGTTTGAAGAAATCAACTGTGGGAGCAATTATTAGGAAATGGAAGACCACTGATAATCTCCCTTGATCTGGGGCTCCACGCAAGATCTCACCCCGTGGGGTCAAAATTATCACAAGAACGGTGAGCAAAAATCCCAGAACCACACGGGGGGACCTAGTGAATGACCTGCAGAGAGCTGGGACCAAAGTAACAAAGCCTACCATCAGTAACACACTACGTCGCCAGGGACTCAAATCCTGCAGTGCCAGATGTGTCCCCATGCTTAAGCCAGTACATGTCCAGGCCCGTCTGAAGTTTGCTAGAGTGCATTTGGATGATCCAGAAGAGGATTGGGAGAATGTCATATGGTCAGATGAAACCAAAATAGAACTTTTTGGTAAAAACTCAACTCGTCGTGTTTGGAGGACAAAGAATGCTGAGTTGCATCCAAAGAACACAATACCTACTGTGAAGCATGGGGGTGGAAACATCATGCTTTGGGGCTGTTTTTCTGCAAAGGGACCAGGACGACTGATCCGTGTAAAGGAAAGAATGAATGGGGCCATGTATCGTGAGATTTTGAGTGAAAACCTCCTTCCATCAGCAAGGGCATTGAAGATGAAACGTGGCTGGGTCTTTCAGCATGACAATGATCCCAAACACACCGCCCGGGCAACGAAGGAGTGGCTTCGTAAGAAGCATTTCAAGGTCCTGGAGTGGCCTAGCCAGTCTCCAGATTTCAACCCCATAGAAAATCTTTGGAGGGAGTTGAAAGTCCGTGTTGCCCAGCGACAGCCCCAAAACATCACTGCTCTAGAGGAGATCTGCATGGAGGAATGGGCCAAAAAACCAGCAACAGTGTGTGAAAACCTTGTGAAGACTTACAGAAAACGTTTGACCTGTGTCATTGCCAACAAAGGGTATATAACAAAGTATTGAGAAACTTTTGTTATTGACCAAATACTTATTTTCCACCATAATTTGCAAATAAATTCATTAAAAATCCTACAATGTGATTTTCTGGATATTTTTTTCTCATTTTGTCTGTCATAGTTGACGTGTACCTATGATGAAAATTACAGGCCTCTCATCTTTTTAAGTGGGAGAACTTGCACAATTGGTGGTTGACTAAATACTTTTTTTCCCCCACTGTAGATACCTTTGTACCTGTTTCCTCCAGCATCTTCACAAGGTCTTTTGCTGTTGTTCTGGGATTTATTTGCACTTTTCGCACCAAAGTAGTACGTTCATCTCTAGGAGACAGAACGCGTCTCCTTCCTGAGCGGTATGACGTCTGCGTGGTCCCATGGTGTTTATACTTGCGTACTATAATTTGTACAGATGAAGGTGGTACCTTCAGGAGTTTGGAAATTGCTCCCAAGGATGAACCAGACTTGTGGAGGTCTTGGCTGATTTCTTTTGATTTTCCCATGATGTCAAGCAAAGAGGCACTGAGTTTGAAGGTACGCCTTGAAAAACATCCACAGGTACACCTCCAATTGACTCAAATGATGTCAATTAGCCTATCAGAAGCTTCTAAATCCATGACATCATTTTCTGGAATTTTCCAAGCTGTTTAAAGGCACAGTCAACTTAGTGTATGTAAACTTCTGACCCACTGGAATTGTGATACAGTGACTTATAAGTGAAATAATCTGTCTGTAAACAATTGTTGGAAAAATTACTTGTGTCATGCACAAAGTAGATTTCCTAACCGACTTGCCAAAACTATAGTTTGTTAACAAGAAATGTGTGGAGTGGTTGAAAAACGACTTTTAATTACTTTTAATGAGTTTTAAACTTCCTACTTCAACTGTATGTATGTGTGTGTTTATGGTTGTGTTTGTCAGTCTGTGTAAATACCTAGAGGAAATGGGACACCGGATGGCTGGAACCCTATGTTGGGAAGGTGGTGGGGTATGGTTCTAAGAAAAATTGAATTATAGACTAGCTGCTATAGGAAATAAAAAAAAATATTAAAAAGAAAAAGCTCCTTCTCTTCTGAGTAAAAATGATACGCTTTATTCTTCCCCTATCTTTATGATCTATCAACTCTTCATCAACTCTGCATCATTTAGTCCTTCCCTAAATGCAGTTGAATGAAATTATACTGAACAAAAGTATAAACGTAACATGCAGTAATTTCAAAGATTTTAATGAGTTACAGTTTATATAAGGAAATCAGTTATCATGCTGAAACATGAGGTGTTGGCGGCAGATGAATGGCACGACAATGGGCCTCTGGATCTCGTCACGGTAGCTCTGTGCATTCAAATTGCCATCAATAAAATGCAATTGTGTTCATTGTCCGTAGCTTATGCCTGCCCATACCATAACTCCACCGCCACCATGGGGCACTCTGTTCACAACGTTAACATCAGCAAACCGCTCGCCAACATGACACCATACACATGGTCTGCGGTTGTGATGCCGGTTGGACTTCCTGCCAAATTCACTAAAACGAAGTTGGAGGCGGCTTATGGTAGAGAAATTAACATTAAATTATCTGGCAACAGCTCTGGTGGACATGCTGCAGTCAGCACTCCAATTGCACGCTCCCTCAAAACTTGAGACATGGTTGGCATTGTGTTGTGTGACAAAACTGAACATTTTAGAGCTTACTTTTATTGTCCCCAGCACAAGGTGCACCTGTGTAATGATCATGCTGTTTAATCAGCTTCTTGATATGCCACACCTGTCAAGTGGATGGATTATCTTGGCAAATGAGAAATGCTCACTAACAGGGATGTAAACAAATTTGTTCACACAATTTGAGAGAAATAAGCTTTTTGTGCATATGGATCATTTCTGGGATCTTTTATTTCAGCTCATGAAACATGGGACCAAGACTTTAGATGTTGCGTTTATATTTTTGTTCAGTGTAGTTTCAGTGCAATACTGTGTAGTCCTAGGCCTACTGTGTTCAACACAGCTTGGCTGTCTGGAAAGGGAACAGTTGGGTGTAAAAATAATATCCTAAAAAAAAAAAAAAAAAAAAAGAAAAAAAAAAAATAAATGTATGCACGCATGACTGTAAGTCGCTTTGGATAAAAGCGTCTGCTAAATGGCATATTATATTTTTATATTATATTATTATTATATTATATATTATATATTATATTATATTATTATACTAAACATGACATGTTATGCATAAGAAATGTATATCTAGACATGGCTATAGGGATATAGGCTATTAGTTTCCAAATAAAAATTACAAAAATGCCAATAAGAGAAGAGACAGTAGGCCTAGTGCACTTGCGAAAGTGAGGGACAACGTAGGCCAGTACTGAACATTTCTCTCGTCTTTTCTACTTCTTGAAAGGCAGGCTGTAGGGGGTTTCTTGTGGGTAATGCATGTTTACTTAGTCGAAGATCCTCTCCGAGACCTCTCAATGCGCCGGAGGGAAGCACCAACCTATTTGAAGGAGTCGTAGCTGTCTTTATGTTACATACATCCAGTCACGCTCAACCCCTTCAAAAATATGTTTTATGTCATATAAACGCTTTAACTGCTAGGCTGCCTGCCGCCCACTGACGTGAAAAACAGGTGTGGTAAGAACAATTTAGCATTAGCTCCACCAGGTGCTTCGTGTAGGGCAGGCTACTGACCCACTGAGAGATTTCAGACCAAACTAACCTTGAACGCTGGTATTTACAGGCTAGGACTCCCAGGTAAACAGTCCGTCTGTTTCAATATCTTGAGAGCGCTCCTTTTGATTTTGTTTCCAACTAATATATTTCCCTGCTGCTGCAAAGGGGAGCGAGATGCGTGAGAGATATAAAAGTAAGGAGAACGCGGGCAGTGAATGCATCCATACTTTTGAGGGGAATCGGGACATTGGAAACGGGCTGTTTAGGAGTTACGACTCACCTATGCCAGGAGAACCTGCCAGCTACTTGGAGGGACCAAATTCCCCTACTGGAGGTATCCTGACAAGTTTGGACCACTGCCATGGGAATGGGCCTACAACACTGGACTCTTCTTTGACAGGTCAGCACAATTTAGTGACTGCCTTCCTTCTTTAATCAAATGTCATTATCTAACCAAATATGATAATTTAAGGAGTTGACGTCCATAAATGTTTTAACTCACAACCTTACTGAAAATGAGAATGCCCACTTCAATTCATCAACTTGTGTTGAGTAGTCTACATTTAGCCAAAAGGTGCAATACACAAGCTTTCTAATAACGCTTTACATCCCAACCTGGTCTCGTATTATTGTGTATGAAATCCAGGACACTCAATTTAGAATGATATGTTGGGTTTTGTATGGTTTGTATTAATTTGTGGATGTACACTACCGGTCAAAAGTTTCAGAACAACTACTCATTCAAGGGTTTTTCTTTATTTGTACTATTTTCTACATTGTCAAATAATAGTGAAGACATCAAAACTATGAAATAGCACATATGGAATCATGTAGTAACCAAAAAAGTGTTAAAGAAATCAAAATATATTTTATATTTGAGATTCTTCAAATAGCCACCCTTTGCCTTGATGACAGCTTTGCACACTCTTGGCATTCTCTCAACCAGCTTCACCTGGAATGCTTTTCCAACAGTCTTGAAGGAGTTCCCACATATGCTGAGCACTTGTTGACTGCTTTTCCTTCACTCTGCAGTCCGACTCATCCCAAACCATCTCAATTTGGTTGAGGTCGGGGGATTGTGGAGGCCAGGTCATCTGATGCAGCACTCCATCACTCTCCTTCTTGGTCAAATCACCCTTACACAGCCTGGAGGTGTGTTGGGTCATTGTCCTGTTGAAAAACAAATGAGTCCCACTAAGCCCAAACTAGATGGGATGGCGTATATTGCTGCAGAATGCTGTGGAAGCCATGCTGGTTAAGTGTGCCTTGAATTCTAAATAAACCACACAGTGTCACCAGCAAAGCACCCCCAAACCATAACACCTCCTCTTCCATGCTTTATGGTGGGAAATACACATGCAGAGATCATCCGTTCACCCACACCGCGTCTCACAAAGACACGGCGGTTTGAACCAAAAATCTCAAATTTGGACTCCAGACCAAAATACAAATTTCCACCGGTCTAATGTCCATTGCTCATGTTTCTTGGCCCAAGCAAGTCTCTTCTTATTATTGGTGTCCTTTAGTAGTGGTTTCTTTGCAGCAATTTGACCATGAAGGCCTGATTCACACAGTCTCCTCTGAACAGTTGATGTTGAGATGTGTCTGTTACTTGAACTCTGTGAAGCATTTATTTGGGCTGCAATTTCTGAGGCTGGTAACTCTAATGAACTTATCCTCTGCAGCAGAGTTAACTTTGGGTCTTACATTCCTGTGATGGTCCTCATGAGAGCCAGTTTCATCATAGCGCTTGATGGTTTTTGCAACTGCACTTGAAGAAAAGTTCAAAGTTCTTGAAATGTTCCGTATTGACTGACCTTCATGTTGTCAAGTAATGATGGACTGTCGTTTCTCTTTGCTTATTTGAGCTGTTCTTGCCATAATATGGACTTGGTATTTTACCAAATAGGGCAATCTTCTGTACATCATTCATTTCGTGTAATATCTTACAAATTTGCAAACGTACAATATGTTACGATTTTGCAAAAGGTAAAATATGTTACGAATTTGCAAGATGTTATGATATGTTACAAATTCCAATTTGTTGTGGCTACCTTTAGCTAGGTGGCTAACGCTACAGTTAGCTAGGCCAAGGGTTAGGGTTAACGTTAGAATTAAAGTTAGGAGTTAGGTTGAAGGGTTAGGGTTAGAGTTAGCTAAAAGGTTTAAGGTTAGGGCAAGGGCTAATGCTAAGTAGTAAGTCGTTGTAAAAAGTTGCAAATGAGCTAAAATGCTAAAGTTGTCCGTGATGAGATTCGAACATGAAGCCTTTGAATTGCTAGAAGTTCGCGTTATACGCCACCCATTCCCCCTCCTTTCGTTTTTGCCTTAAGTAACCTACTGTCTTATGTAACCATACCAAACATAACATAACATACTAATTTGAGTGTTCCGGAAATAAAATACTATGTTACATCTAGTGTATGAGACCAGACTGCACATCCAAGTATACTGATTTATAACTTGTTATAAACATGTATGAGCCTTTATATTGTCTTACAAGCAAGGATAATACTGTTGATTGTTCATATACTATACTGTGCAATCTATATCGTTCATACAGTACATGTGGTTCATTTTTGAAAATTACATTGAGTAATATGTTAGGCCTTGCTATTTGGAATGAGTGATACATTATGATAATCTGATCATCAGTTATCACATTTCTTTTTAGACTATCGGTCTGAATTCACAAATAAATTGCATTCTGTTGCAACATGGTTTTATTCATCAGGTCCAAAACGCTCCAACTATGACGGTGAGAAAAGGTACCTAGGAGTCAGGGTCAAAATGCCTGTGAGAGACATGCTTAATAACATTCGCATAGCGAAGGGAGTGTACACCAAAAATATCCAGGTATGACATTGTGTATTCACTGTGGCTAAATTGCTTGGAAGACAATTTCCACATTCCCCAGTCCGATGTTTTGACATATTCACGATTTATCCTTTACGTCTTTCTACAGGGCAACAGCGGCAAGGCATTGAAAGGTTAGAAAAAAACTCTCATTCTATTATGCTTATGTTGTTGGCCTATAACCAAGATTGAACACTTCTGGCAGCCTCCTCTAAAGTGTGACTTGTTCTGCTCTGGAATTAGGGTTGTTTACCTTTTGCAAACATTAAGAGCATAACGTGTTTGGTAATGGGTGAGGCTGATCACACGGATAACAGTCATAAAATGCAGTCAAGACTTTACTTAAAGTGTGACGAGTACTGAGGATACGAAGAGGCAGGACGCAGACGCAGGAATCAACAATGTAAAGGTGTACTTAACACTGAGCAAGAGAACAACAAAGAGCGAGTACACAACATGACACTAACAATCACACACAACACAACACTGAACAGTCCAGGGCTATATAGGGGTGGTGATGAGGTGCAGGTGCGCTGGAGGTGATTAGGGTGCGTTGGGTTTCCATTCCAGCGTTGCCTAGGTTGTGCCCTCAGACCGGTGGCTCAGTAGACCGGCGAATCAGAGCGCCGGAGGGGAGCAACGGGAGGAGACGTGACATAAAGCCTATGGATATAATGCATAATGATGTGCACATAAAGTATTAGTAAGACATACGCATATTTGACATCTAAGTACTTTTTCATAATAATACAGTATATCACAGCCATCTTGAAAAGGAGACTCGTAGGATACTGATAACTAACAATACAAGTTAAAACGTGTTACTGAATTTCATCATTACAATATGAACATAAATAGCACTGAAAACTGTCACAACAACAATTATGTATTATTACACAAACATTTATGTTGTGGGTAAGGGCATGCAACAACAAAGATACTGTCAACTTGAAACATGAAACCTGCTGTCAAAATTCCTTATTATATTCTTCACAGGAGAGAAGAAACGGGTAAATACAAATAGAGATGGCAGAAGTAGCAAGGTGAGTGATTTACAGTGCATTATATGAATAAGCATACATGTCTTTTAACATTTCACCAGGTTTGCCTTGCTCTAACTTGGACGGCTCAGCAATCAACACTGGATACTTATTATGTGTGTCCACTGTGTTTCAGAGAAAACAACCTACAAAGAGCCTAGAGGAACTCGCCATAATAGTGGAGGTTTTGGAGCAGGATCTCAAAGCCAGCAAGTCATACAGCCAGTCTAACAAGACTGAGTCACCCGACTACAGTCTAGAGCCCAACGAGCAACCATGGAATAGTCCAGAGCCACTCCAACATAGTCACTCAATGAAGTGCAGTCAGGAAAACAAGATGCCACAACAAGCCCCAAACTACTGTATGTCAGAGCTCAACCTATCCAGCTCTGCAGACAAACAGAACACTAGTGTCCCTCCGCTTAACTCCCATGGAGGGTATATCAACGACGAATCCGACAATATGATGCCCAGTCCAGATTCATATATGTCTTACTTCCCCAGCTGCACCAGTGAATATCAAGTGCCATCTCCCCAAGATTCAGTCTTCACTAGCCCCCAGTCCTCCAGCTATGAGTTAGGTCAGGATGGAGGAAGTGACTACCAGGATAGCTTTAGCTGTCAGGATAGCTTTAGCCCCCAGTGCCAGGATAGCTTTAGCCCCCAGTGCCAGGATAGCTTTAGCCCCCAGTGCCAGGATAGCGTTAGCCCACATTGGCCAAGCTACATGGGCCAGGATTGGAACAGCACAGCATACTTCTGGACCCAGCTCCAGAGGGAGGAGAGCTTACTGACGGGGGTCTCTGACACAGAGCTTCTGGCCACAGACAAGAACGGAAGGACGTAAGTTGTAATCACAATTTGTCTTTTACCCTTTTCATATTACTGAGCCTTGCTGAGCTGTTGCCTGGTCTTGTTAGGCATTCACCAGAGGTTGGAACAGTGCTGGAAACTAGCACAGTGCGGTTCGGGTCAGCGCAATAGTGTGAAAAGGGTACTGAATCAGTGCTTGCAGACAGTGCTAGGACAGCATAGCTACACCAACTATTCAGAACTTCATGATAATGGTCTATAGCATTTTCACATCACATGACCAAGGGATTATTGTGTTGTCATTCCTGGGAAAACACTTTATCTTAGCCTGTTGATTTGAAATGGTATACCCCGGGAGGCTATAGCAGTATAATGGGTGGAATGTTATGGATGTTCAGACAGAAATATGAGATGATATCACTCAGTTTGTCATTAAAGGCACTGTACAGAGACTATATGTGACAGTATGGTGAATGGATGCTTTGTAGTAATTTAATGAGATATGTTGTCCTAAGATAAACAATAACCTGTTACAGACATATTCGTTTTCCTACAATAATTCACAAACAACAAATGATGCCAAGACATACTGAGGGTATCTAATAGGCAGCAGTTAGGTGTTAGTGTTACGTTCCCCAGCAAGAAAACCAAATATTGTCACTCAAACAGAAGGGAGAACTAACAAAGAGTCACTGACAACAACCAAAACGAAACTAATGGGGTTTTAGGAGGGGTTCTGAAAGACACTCATGGGGGTGTCCACTGAAAGTTGACTAGCAACAACAACTGGGACCTAAAAGACACCCAACATGAGCGCCCACCACAGGAGGTTGGTGGCACCTTAATTTGGGAGGACAGGCTCATGTTAATGGCTAGAGTGGAATGGTATCAAATACATGGGTTCCATTTGTTTGATGCCATTCCATTAGCTCCTTTCCAACCACTATTATAAGCCGTCCTCCCCTCAATAGCCTCCACTGGCGCCCACTAAAGTTGCCCAAGAAGAGGCAAACAAAAGAAAAACCCACACCAAACTTAAAGACAGGAAGCAAACCAAAAGTGGAGCAAAATGAAAACAGAGAAGATCAGATAAAGGATTGTTTGTCTAGAACTCAAATAGGGAGCGCCAACTAAAGGTGTTAACCCTCCACATCTCTCAAGACAACTGGAACACTGGGCCAGCCACTTTTAAATATCACCTGGGACAGCACAGGTGAAGCACCTTCCGACTAACAAGATGGACAAGCCAGCGCAGGTGTAACACATACTGACTAACGAGGTGACACCAATCAGTGTACTCCCACGTGCTAACGTGCAAACGTCCAACCTCAAAATATATACTGAACAGAAATATAAATGTAACATGTGAAGTAAAAATAAAATAAAAGATCCCCGAAATTTTCCAGACGCACAACAAGCTTATTTTTCCCAAATGTTATGCACAAATTTCTTTACATCCCTGTTAGTGAGCATTTCTCCTTTGCCAAGATAATACATCCACCTGAAAGGTGTGGCATATCAAGAAGCTGATTTAAACAGCATGATCATTACACAGGTGCACCTTGTGCTGGAGACAATAAAAGGCCACTCTAAAATGTACAGTTTTGTCACACAACACAATGCCACAGATGTCTCAAGTTTTGAGGGAGCGTGCAGTTGGCATGCTGACAGCAGGAATGTCCACCAGATCTGTTGCCAGAGAATTGAATGTTAATTTCTCTACCATAATCTGCCTCCAATGTTGTTTTAGAGAATTTGGCAGTACGTCCAACCGGCCTTACAACCGCAGACCACGTGTAACCACACCAGCCCAGGACCTGCACATCCGGCTTCTTCACCAGTGGAATCGTCTGAGACCAGCCACCCGGACAGCTGATGAAACTGTGGGTTTGCACAACCAAAGACTTTCTGCACAAACTGTCAGAAACTGTCTCAGGGAAGCTCATCTGCGTGCTCGTCGTCCTCACCAGAGTCTTGACCTAACTGCAGTTTGGCGTCGTAACTGACTTCAGTGGGCAAATGCTCACCTTCGATGGCCACTGGCACGCTGGAGAAGTGTGCTCTTCACGAATGAATCCCGGTTTCAACTGTACTGGGCAGATGGCAGACAGCGTGTATGGCGTTGTGTGGGCGAGCGGTTTGCTGATGTCAACTTTGTGACAGAGTGCCCCATGGTGGCGGTGGGGTTATGGTATGGGCAGGCATAAGCTACGGAAAACGAACACAATTGCATTTTATCGATGGCTATTTTAATGCACAGAGATAGCGTGACGAGATCCTGAGGCCCATTGTCGTGTCATTCATCCACCGCCCTCACCTCAAGTTTTAGCGTGATAATGCACAGCCCCATGTCACAAGGATCTGTACACAGCTGAAAATGTCCCAGTTCTTCCATGTCCTGCATACTCACCAGACAATAGACACATAATTGTTTGAATGGTTGATTTTAGTGACAAACACAGGAAGAGATATGTATCTAATATTCATTTTGGAGTGAAATTTCATGTTCTTGACATACTTGATAATGAAAAAACTGGATTATTACTTTCAAGCTACCACTGATTCAAATCATGCTCACATTAATTATCATTGGCCAGCCACAGTACACAACTACATTCCCACATTGTTGATGCAGGATTGCCATGATGCAATGTATCATCCAGTACATTCATGTCAAACTGCACTTTAATGCATTCATGTTGTTAACCATTCGAACTCACAGTGACATTTATGTGGGTACACTATAAATATGTTAATTGCTTCTTTCTTTAGAGCTCTCCACAGAGTTGTGGGTCAAGGCAAGAGGGCCCTTGGATATGTGATTGCCAAAAGGATGGCAGCTCTGAACAGACTGAATGTCAAAGACTCAGAGGGAAAGGTAAATCAAACATTTTCTGTCTCTAATAAAGCCCTTTTGTGGGAAAAAACTCATTCTGATTGGCTGGGCCCAGTCATGTGAAATCAATAGATCAGGGCCTAATTGATTTATGTAAATTGACTGATTTCCTTATATGAACTGTAACTCTGCAAAATCGTTGAAATTGTTTCATGTTGCGTTTTATATTTTTGTTCAGTATAGTATGACTTCATTTGTTTTCTGGTTGTTCAGATTCATTCAGCCGTTCAGATAACTTTGAAGCAACTGTATACTAGTGCTGAGCGATTAGTGCTTTTTGAGGTCGGTTCAGTTTCGGTTCGATTATCTAAAAAAAATCACGGTTTTTCGGTTTCATTATTTTTTGGAACATTAAATGCACTAGGCATTATGTGGGTTGAATGCTGTAATAACACAGAATAAAACAATTAATAAAGTCCCATGATGGTAGTGACTGCCCATTACTGCTTATCACTTATTATCCATAATTTTTTATTCACATTACTTTATTAAAATATTTGTTTTATTTGATAACTTTATTACTTCATTCCAAGTCATCATCTCTATAGAGCTGCTGCCTATGCTGTCTGAAAAAATCACTATTTTAATAGTTCTTCAAAGTAAATAAGGCATACTTTTATGACTGCTGAATACCAACTATCAATCACTTAGATCATGTATTTTCAGGTAGCGATACCTCACACAGCAACTCTCTCTTCTCTCCGTCGACGAGGTCTCCGTGTCTGCTCCACGCAGACCAGACAAGCTGGCGTGCTACATCTCAGTGATCGCACAGTACGGGCTTGATCTGGGAACTGCACATCGAGCTCACAGAAAAAAACAGAACGAAATGGAATTCAAATAATTGAACCGACGTCGGTCAATTAGTTGTTTAAAAACTGAAAAATTACAGAAATGTAATCACTCAGCACTAATTGCTCAGCACTACTGTATAAAATCAGTGATATAGCTTGAGCTACATCAGGATTGCTCACCAATCAAAACAGGAGACTGTCAAATAGTTGATTAAGCCCCTGACTTCTGTTCCCAGACTGCACTTCACCTGGCTGCACAGAAGAACCAACACCTGATGGTGGCTGATCTGATTCGCCATGGTGCCTGTGTGAACGAGAAGGACAGGTGTGGAAAGACATGCCTGCATCTCAGTGGTGAGAATGGATACACTCCAGTTCTGGAGGTAAATACAGCCAACTGACATGCAATACTGACAGACAAAATCTGTTGTGTGAGCTGAGCTCTTTGAAGGTTAGCTCCGTGAGTTGACTTGAAATAGAGTATTTGAAGTATTTTTGGGAGGTACTTTTTAAAAGTTTAATTTTAACATGCTACCCTGTCATTATGATTATATAATGTATAGCCTACTGCAGCACCTTCACAACCCAGGAAACATGTTTGTCATGTTACTGTGTACAAAGGTAAACAATGGTTAGTTCCCACAATGAAATTGGTACACTGAACCTGTTTGATCTTTCTAATGGTATACATATTTCTTCTTTTAGGTTCTGAAAAATATGATGAAAGAAGGAATTTATGTAGATGTCGAAGCTACAGATAATGATGGTATGTTTGGCTTCCTTGTTTTCATATCCTATTCACAGCCTTCCATATTAAAATACTCTTAATGTAAGTCTTATATTTAAAGCTGCAATATGTACGTTTTTGGGCGAGTTATAGATCTGTCATTCTCATTGAAAGCAAGTCTAAGAAGTGGTAGATCTGTTCTATGTGGGCTATTTCTATGCTTCCCGTTCTTAAGTTTAGTTTTTGCGTCTTTTACTTATAATATTTCACAGCGGTTTAGATGGTACAATTACTTGTTTTGTCACATATACTGAAATTACAATTTTTGAATTTTAGCAACCAGGAAAATGGCGGAGTGATTTCTGCATATTGCACCTTTAAAGGGATAGTTCACTCCAAAATAAAAGATTGTCATATTACATTTACATTACATTTTAGTCATTTAGCAGACGCTCTTATCCAGAGCGACTTACAGTTAGTGAGTGCATACATTATTTTTCGATTTTTCATACTGGCCCCCTGTGAGAATCGAACCCACAACCCTGGCGTTGCAAACGCCATGCTCTACCAACTGAGCTACATCCCTGCCGGCCATTCCCTCCCCTACCCTGGACGAC